CCAAGTTTGAACATTCTAGCTCAATTAGGAGGAGAGTTATTGTGTTCCAAAAAGTGTGACGGACAGACGAACCCATTTTAATAGTCCCCTGCCTTCTTCGAAAGGCGGGGGACAATAAAAACATGGGAATGTATGGACTATTTCTATTTTTCTCGTTTTCCCTTTTCTAGTGACATCCAATTACTATACTGGCGTCGCCCCTGTATGTGTGTTTGGGTGTGTGTGTCGCCTACAGGCCACAATTCTTAAGAGATCATCTTGAAACTTTACATACTTATTCATTATACTCTAAGGATGATGATCCCTATTGTTTTTGGTTCATGCCCGACCCACGTTCATTTCTTTTATTTGTTTGTCGTCTACAGACCGCATTTCTAAACGTATCATCTTAAACTTTGCATACCTATTCATTGTCTCCTCAGGAACACCCCTATCCTTGGGGTGCATGTCCAGCCACAAGGGGCAGAGCCACACCCATTTTCTTTTTGTGTGTCGCCTACAGGCCACAATTCTTAATCGATCGTCTTGAAAAATTTTCATATGAATTCCTTATACCCTAAGGATGATCCCTATTGTTTTTGGTGCATACCCGACCCACAGTGGCAGAGACATGACCATTTCTTGTATTTATTTGTCAACAACAGACCACATTTCTTAACGTATCACCTTGAAACTTTGCATACTTAATCCATCTATCCTAAGATACATCCCTATTGTTTGTGGTGAATGCCCAACCCCCAGGGGTAGAGCCACGTCCATTTTCTTTTTGTGTGTCACTTACAGCCCGCAATTCTTAATCGTCTTGAAAACTTTTTTTTATACTTATCCCTTATACCCTAAGGCTGGACTCTATTATTGTTGGTGCCGACCCCATTGGACAGAGCCACACCCAATGTTTGTGTGTCTTGTGTTTCGCCTACAAGCCGCAATTCTCAACAGATCCTTTTGAAACTTTGCATACCTATTCCTTATACCCGAAGGATGACCCCTATTATGTTTTTGGTGATTCCCAACCCCAGAGCCACGCCCATTTTTTTTGTGTCTTGTCTTGTGTCTTTGAACTTGGGATATGTATTCCTTATAGCCTATCCCTTTTTTTGTGTTCATTGTTTACAGGCCACAATTCTGAATGGATCAACTTGGTACTTGGCATATGTATTCCTCATAGCCTAAGGGCGTCAACAATTGATTTTGGTGAATGTCCCGATCCTTAGGGGAAGAGCCACGCCCAATTTGTGCCTTTAGCGCCGGAAGATAAAGAATTCTGCGAGAGATGGATAGAAAATAAGCTATCCCACCCCCCAAAAACGATTTTCCGTACAATGAGGGGACAAAATCCAGGAAGTTATGGTCCGATATGCGCGAATATCAAAAGGAATCGAAATCTCTGGGCTATAAACATATTTAAAGTTTCATCAAAATCAGCAAAAAATTCTGACATCTACTCATGTTTTAAGCTTTGTCAAAATTGTGACCTCTAGAGTATCCACAATCTTGATATTACATATTTTAAACACTATTTGTGTACATAGAGCGGCCATTTTGTCCAACAGTTTCAGTCTGATTTTCATGAAATTCAAACTCAATATTTGTCATATTTTTTAAATTGGATAAAATTGTGACCTCTAGGGGGACCACAAGCTAAAAACTGATTTTTCGGAGGATCAGATGCCTTAATCCAGGAAATTGCGCTTGATATGTACGAATATCAAAAGGAACCGAGATCGTTGGATTATAGACATACATTTCAAGTTTCATCTAAATCAGATAAAGATAGTTGCCAGGCAACGAAACATACGCCCACAGCAGCTAAATCGTCCGGGCAGTCAACAAGTGATATCGCATATTTTTTACTTTTTTTGGTAATGAACATTTATAATACACTAAAATCTGATTAAGAGTAACAACTCATGAAGTAATTATCAATCTGAAGTCAATCGGATGATAACTTTAGTCTCTAGAACGTCACAAGTTTTTTCAAAGTGATAAAGGGCCATAAGTTTGGCGGTAATATCGGAAATCGTTGAAAATCAATAGGATTCTTTGTCTCATGACCTCAAACACTGTGTATAAATTTAAAGTCAATCGGATATTAACTTTAGCTACAAGAGCATCCACAAGATTTTTTGAAGTGATCAAGGGCAGTAATTATCAGAAATTGCTGCAAATCAATACGCTTCTTCGTCTTATGACAGTAAACACTGCGTATAAATTTAAAGTCAATCGATCGGATAATAACTTTGGCCTCTAGAGCGTCCACAAGATTTTTGAAGTGATCAAGGGCCATAACTCTGTAAGTAATTATTGAAAATCGCTGAAAATCAATAGGCTTCTTTGTCTCATGACCTTAAACACTTTGTATAAATTTAACTTTGACCTCTAGTACGTCCACAAGATTTTTTTACGTGATCAAGGGCCATAACTCTGGCAGTAATTATCGGAAATTGCTGAAAATCAATAGGCTTCTTCGTCTCATGACCTTAAACACTGTGTATATATTTAAAGTCAATTGGATATTAACTTTAGCCTCTAGAGCATCCACAAGCAATTGTGGACGCCGGACGGACGGACTGGGGCAACGACAATATACGACCACATTTCAATGTGGGCATATAAAAATTGTGACCTCATGTACACAATCTAAAGATAGGTTGCCAGGCAATGAAACATATGCCCACGACAGCTAAGTCGTCATGGGTTGTCTCATTTTTTTTTTTCTTTTGTCAGACATGTAACCATTTACAACACAGTAAAATCTGGCTTCTAATTCTGCCCTATTCAAACATTTAGCATACAAAACATATCAATGGTAATCGTTAAAAATTGACCGGCTTCTTTATCTCACCTTAAACACTGTAGAAATTTATAGTCAATCAGTTATTAACTTGAGACTCTTAAGAGCTTCTACAAGATTATCAGAAATAGTTGAAAATCTATAGGCTCCTCGTCCATGACCTTAAACACTGTATAAATTCAAAGTCAATCAAACATTGACTTTAGCATTTAGAGCATCCACAAGATATCTGAAAGTGATCAAGGGCCATAACTCTGGCAGTAATTATTGGAAATCGTTGAAAATTAACAGGTTTCTTCACCTGATGACCTTAAACACTGTGTATAATTTAAAGTCAATCAGATATTAAATTTAGCCTCTAGAGCGTGTACAAGATTTTTCAAAGCGATCAAGGGCCATAAATCTTAAGTAATGATCGGAAATCATTAAAAATAATAGGCTTCTTCGTCTCACGACCGTAAACACTGTATAAATTTAAAGTCAATCAGATATTAACTTTAGCCTCTAAGAGAATTCACAAGATTTTCCAAAGTGATCAAGGGCCATCAACAGGTTTCTTTGTCTCATGACCGTAAACACTGTGTATAAATCTAAAGTCAATCGAATATTAACTTTAGTCTCTAGAGCATCCACAAGATTTTTCGAAGTGATCAAGGGCCATAACTCTGACAGAAATCATCGGAAATTGTTGAAAATCAATATGATTCTTCGTCTGATGACCTTAAACACTGTATACATTTCAAAATCATTCGCATATTAACTTTAGACTCTTGATCGTCCACAAGCAATTATGGCCGGCGGACTGACGGCTGCAACAATATACGACCACATTTCAATGTGGGCGTATAAAAACTTGATTTTTTGTACAATCAGGGGCCATAATCCACGAAGTTTTGATCTGATATTGAAAGGAACCAAGTTCTTTTGGAGATAAATCTATATTTTCGTCAATATCGGATAAGAATTGTGACCTGCAGAGTGTCCACAAACAAATTGTGGAAGGACGGCAATATACTTTCAGATGAAAATGTGGGCGTATAAAAATGTATGTCTGAAAGAATTTTGGAAATGTCTGATATGGGGTATAATGTAGCATTCTGTTCCGACTAGGCTAAATAAGTCGGGCTTATGCCATAAAGAAATTTATGCCTGGGCAGCAGCACTACTGCCTACACTTTATTTCTAATTCCAACTGTCATGGGTTCTTTAAATTGTCTGAATGGTAAGCATTTGCAAGGCTTCAGTAATGGGAAATAACTCTATATAACATAACTGATTTACTACTAAAGATTTTCAATAAGGCTCCTTTTAAAAACCAGCGGCTGCCAGGCAGGATACGCCCACATTTTCGAGATGGATAGAAAACAAGCTAAAACGAAAGTGATTTTTCCTACAATCAAGGGCCATAATTCAGGAAATTACAATTCGATGTGCGCGAATATCGAAAGGAACCGAGATCTTTGGGTTATAAACTTACATTTCAAGTTTCAACAAAATCGGATAAAAATTGTGACCTCTATAGGGTCCACAACCTTGATATACCATATTTTTATGCTATTTGAAAACGAATGGCGGCCATTTTGTCTGTCAGTTTTGGGCTGATTTTCACGAAAATCGAACTCAGTCGTCCTTAGGGTGTAACGGTGATATAATAATACGTTTTTTTTAAATCGGATAAAAATTACGACCTCTATAGGGTCGACAAGCTAAAAACGCAATTTTTCGTACAATCAGGGGCCATAATTCAGGAAGTTATGTTCCGATATGCACGAATATCGAAAAGGAACCGAGATCTTTGGGTTATAAGCATACATTTCAAATTTAAACCATATTGGATAAAAATTGTGACCTCTACAGTGTTCACAAGCTAAAAACGTGACTTTTCGTACAATCTGGGGCCATAATCCATGAACTTACGGTTCGATACATGCCAATATCGAAAGGAACCGAGATCTTGGGGTGATAAACCTATATTTCAAGTTTCATTGAAATCGGATAAAAATTGTGACCTGTAGACTGTTCACAAACAATTGTGGACGGACGGACAGACAGGGTCGACGACAATATATGTCCACATGAAAATGTGGGTGATAAAAAGTTAATTACTGCAGCCTTTACAAGAAATGTGAATCGTTGGACTATTAGTGATGACAATGTACACCCACAATGGGAATATAAATATGTGAAATGAATCAACAGATTACAGTATTTTTCTAAATTTATTTCTTTCAATTGAAACCATGTGATGCTAGAATTTTGTCAAATTCAGCTGTTTTAGAAGCAACATTTTTTCTTGCTTGGGCTTTCAATTTCTGAAAAGAAAAAGGAAAAAAATTCTTGATAAACATCTGTCAAAACAGATAAAACAAATATTGCTTTACACATGAATTATAATTTCTGTCTCAGATGGTGGTGCATGTAAACCATTTTCATTAAATTGTTCAATTAAGTGAATTTAACATAATCATCACCGACAGAAATAATAATCTACATGTACTCGTGTATGAACCGACACTGCACAGGTTGAAAGTAGTAATTTAGTATAACTCTGAAACTTGACCTGGTAGATCAACGACACCTAGTCTATGTTACTCCCCTATAAACCAAATTTCAGTCATTGGGACGGCCTTAGTGTCGCCACCAACCCTGAACCAACGACAGTCACAGATTAGTATAGATAATGCATAAATTCCATGACAAAGCGTGCTTAAAACGAAGAATATCTTAAAACTTTCTCCAAAACCTACTAAAACACGCAGTCTGACAGTATAGCTGAAGCCATAAATATATATTCATTACCAAATTTACATGCATAATCTATAAGAGGCTGATAATGTGAATACATAATCCAAATACACATAGATAACTTAAATTCTGTTAAATAGAATTTTAACTAGTGCTGATATCAAGTAAAATTTTACGCATCGATGCATCAGACACAAACATCGATTCTCGTATCGATGCATCGGGAATTTGCCGCCATTTTGTTAATCAAAAATTACAGAAATAACATTAGTATTTCTGATAGAAACATAAATTTCCCTAACATTATCATTAGGCCTTTTATAGAAATGTCGATTTATTTGAATAAATTTATTTCCACAATATTCTTCTGTTATTTATTATGACATTAATATCGTCTGATTCACTTCAAAGTTCAATTGACACTCGTTAGCCATTGTTCAAATTTGTTGTGAAGGCGTGAGGGGTGAGGTGATTACAAGAGACAGCGTTTGCATTATTTATACGAATCGTATCAAAGCCTGTCTATAGGGGTTTATGAATTCTCTATTGCTCGTGGCAGAAAATAAGACTGAATCATTTTAAAACTAGCGTTAAGAACCGGCCGCGAAATATTATCCTTCTAAAATTGGCCTTGGGGTTAAAGGACACGATAGCCAGGGGACGTAACCAGCAAACGCAGTCTTTGTAGTCACTGGAAAATGGAGACAAACATAACGGAAGCGTAGGGTAAACAGGTCAAGCCTAATAATAGTTCGTGCGGGATTCATTGAATTGTTCCGTTACATATATATTGTTTTAATTTGAATTATAAAAACATATTGAAAAGGTGTTTTTTTATTCTAGTGGATGAACTTGTGAACTCCTCGGACACATAAATTTAAAGCTAATTATTAGTATTTTTTGCTGTTGGATCGATAATACGAAAAAGGACCGAGAATCGAATCGGCACTAATTTTAACCAAACTGATTAAAATACAGATCCTATTTTGTTTTGTTTTTTATAGTTCAAAATTGCGTTTTACTTGTCTTTACTACACTAGGATCTGGAAGAGTTGTTATATTACTGGAGTTTTGGATAAAGTGAGGGATAAGGCAATGAAACGGTCTGTTACAGTGTCTTCTTGGGAGTGCCATGCACGGAACTGTGGGAAAACCACTAGAAACGTCAACACTGATTGATTAATCAATGTCTGACGTCATATAGGGACAAAAGCCGCTCGTCGACACGACCTATCAGTAAACTTGTTAGATCTTCATGTAGTGTAGGCCATCGAATGTATAAACCAGCAGCTGCCAGGCAGGATACGCCCACATTTTGCAATAGATGGATAGAGAACAAGCTAAAAACAAACGTGATATTTTGTGCAATCAGGGGCAATAATCCAGAAAGTTATGGTCTGAAATGCACAAATATCAAAAGGGACTGAGATCTGTGGGATATAAAGATATGTTTTAAGTTCCATTAAAATCTGATCAAAATTGTAAACTCTAGAGGGTCCACAACCATCGTATTTTGTTGGGCAGTTTCATTTCAATTTTCCCGAAATTCAAATTCGGTCTTCTATAATATGGTATTGTGATGTATTTAAACTGTTTTTAAAATCAAAAAAAAAATTGTGACCTCTAGTGAATGCGCAAGCTAAAAACAGGATTTTGCGTACAATCAGGGTCATAATTAAGGAAGTTACGATCTGATATGTGTGAATATCAAAAGGACCAAGATCTTTGAGATATAAACATCCATTTTAAGTTTCATCAAAATCGGATCAAAATTGTGACCTCTAGAGGGCCCACAACTTTGATATACCAGATGTTTACATTATTTGCGTACGAGGGTCGACCATTTTGTCTGGCAATTTTCAAGAAATTCGAACTCAACCAACATGGTGTAACGGTAATATATTCAAACATTTTTTTTAAATTGGGTAATAATTGTGATCTCTAGAGGGACCACAAGCTAATAATGCGATTTTTCGTACAATCAGAGGCTGTAATTCAGCAAGTTACGATCCGATATGCGTGAAGATTGACAGCAACCAAGATCTTTGGGTTATAAGCATGCATTTCATGTTTCATCAAAATTGGGTGAAAATAGTGACATTTAGCGTGTCCACAATCTAAAAATGCGATTTTTCGTACAATCACTGGCCATAATCCATTAAGTTATGGTCCGATACATGCAAATATAGAAAGGAACTGAGATCTATCGTCAAAATCCGATTAAACGTTGTGACCTATAGAGTGTCAACAAACAAATTGTGGACAGACAGTCGTCCAGGGGCAACGGCATGATACATGTGGGCGAATAATAAAATGCAGAAATGTTTTAACTTACAGCATCTTTCTTCTTTTCAGAGAAATATTGTGATGATCTGATCTTTCGGCGCTCTTCCATTGTGTCAATAACATGTCTGTATTTCCAGCCAATTTCATGAGAAATTCTTTTCAATTCACAGTACTGAAAATATAATAAAATAAGTCAGGAACTTTTTTTAATTAATGCGTGTGAAGTCATTATTGATTTTAATAACAATTTAATCAAGTCAACAGTGAGGCTGATGTCCCATGGCGAAATCCTAACATAAATAGATGACACATTAATTAACTGCTTAGCTTTAGCGGGAAATATCATTCCTTGAACTCAGTCAAGATATTAACCTAATGAACATCTATACCTCAAATGAAAGTCGAGTTGTTATGTTTGAAAGTCTTGACCAATCAAACTGCTTATCGCTAATTAGCCTAAGCAGAAAATTCTAATCATCAAACTTAGTCAATGTATTGATATAATGAATCTATACTCAAGAGTTTGATCGCTCTCACCAATTGGAATAAAAGTTCACAAGTCTCAATCAAATTGCTCATCTCTGCTTAGCCACAGTGGAAAATGTGCATGCTCGAACTCTCAAGGCATTCACCTAAAAGACACCTACTTCAATTAGAAGGAAAGTTATTGTTTCCAAAGTCTCGACCAATCAGTTTAAGTCTCTATTTTGCCAAAGTAGAAAATGCTCAGCATCGAGCTTTGATAAGATATTGATGTAATGAAACTGTACACAAAGTTTAACCACAATCATTCAATTAGAATTAAAGGTGTTGAGCTCTGAAGTCTGGACCAATCCATAAACTTATCACTCTGCTTACCCCGAGCCGAAAACTATACACACACACCAAGTTTCATCCCTCTCACTTAATTTCAATCAAAGACATCATGTTCCAAAGCATCAACCAATCAAATTGCTTATTTCTGCTTACTCTTAGCAGAAATAGCTCATCTTCGAACTCCATCAAGGCATTCACCTACGTGATCCCAATTGAGTATTCACTGGTGTATATTGATAAATTCCTAGCCATGCTTTTCTTTATTTAGTTTATTTAGGGCGTATGCTGTCTATGACCTGCCATGTTTTTATTTTTCAAAATTCAAATATTTTTCATATATTGGTGTGCCGCTATTTTGTCGTGTATTCCAAGGTGTGCCGTTGGCTGAAAAAGTTTGAAAACCACTGACCTAATGAATGCCTACGTCAAGTTTGAACAGTCTAGCTAAATTAGAAGGAAAGTTATTGTGTCCCAAAAGGTGTGACGGACAGACAGATTTTAACAGTGTCATAACAAGCTAACAGTGAGTCTGATGTCCCCCGCCTAAATCCCGAAATAATGAATCTATACTCGGAGTTCCATAGCTCTCAACCAATCAAATTGCTTATCTCTGCTTACTGTAATCAGACAATATTCATCATCGAACTCCATCCAGGCATTCACCTAATGAATGCCTACACCAAATTTGAGCATTCTACCTCAATTAGGAGAGTTATTGTGTTTCAAAGTCTCGACCGATCAAATTGCTTATAGCTCTGCTTACCCTAAGCAGAAAATGATAATTATCGAACTTAGTCAAGGTATTGATGTGATGAATCTATACACCAATTTTCATCACTCTCACTTAATTAGAACTAAGGTTATCGTGTTCCAAAGCATCAACCAATCAAATTGCTTATCTCTGCTAACCCCAAGCAGAAAATGCTCATCTTCGAACGAACTCTATCAAGGCATCAACCTAATAATTTTCAGCCTAATTTTATTTTGCGCCATCATCTAGCCAGCAATGTCAGTTGCCGGAGACATTTATTTTGTGTAGCCTAATATGTACCATTGGAAATTTATTGTCCTGTATTAGTTTATTTCTTCAAAATTGAAAGTGTGTGGACTATTAACAGTCTAGTTGATATGACAACAATTGATGAATTCACTCCTATTGTATTGTAGGGAATTGCAGCAGTACAATTCTGGTTGAAGAAACTTAAAAGACTGATTTGGTTAAGACATACCTTTCTAATAGGGTTAAGACGAATAACTCTGAGAGCAGATGGGATGATAACCCTCTTCTTTTTATCATAAGGTGCTGGAATACCTTCATATACAGTAAGGCGGCTCATAGCTTCTTTTCCACGCACAGTTCTATGAGGAATCATACCTGAATAAATCCATATATCCAAGTTTTAGTTAAAGATACATTATGTAAGATTTAGATAAAAAGCTAGCCATTCTTGCTATAATTAATAGTTCAAAAATAGATAATTCAATATCAATATTTTGAAAATTTCATTAAAAATGAGCTAAGATATTAGTACATTTTTTGTAGCCACTGTACTGGTTGTTTGAAGCTTAGGCTCTGATCTCCATTTTCAAATTATATCAGTAACGGTCGAACTATTCTAATCTAATGAATATCAGAAATATCTGATGACATCGAGAGTTGATTATGGTTAGCCAATTACCCCCCCCCCCCCTGTACATGCCCTCTGAAAATGTACCCCCCCTAATTCAACCCTATTTGCAGATTTTTTTTACAATTTTGAGCTTGAATAACATCCAATAGTAGCTTCTACAACTTTATTTAGGTTTTCGACGGTGCCGGGTCCAAATATGGCCCCAGAAATAATTTCCAAAAATCCAAAAATATTGGAATAATGCCAAAGTGATTGACACAGTGTTAATTTTCACCTATGACCTATTACGTAAATACCGGAAGATCCTTTGTTGGAACGTATGTTTTTTATTTGATAATTTGCGAATATAACATTCCTTTTCATTGGGTGTTTTTTTTTTTATTACTAAATCACCATTAATTTTAAGAAATAAAAACAATTGAAATCAGTTCTCACTATAATAGTTAAAGATAGGGTGCCAGGCAATGAAACATATGCCCACAGCAGCTAAATCGTCCGGGCAGTCAACAAAAGTTGTCATATATTTTTATTTTTTTCAGTAATGAAACATTTATAATAATAATACACTAAAATATGATTAAGAATAAGAGTAACAACTCATTAAGTTATTATCAGAAAATCATTAGAATTTGTTTGGTTTTAAAAAGTTCTGCCCCATGCTAACATTTAGCATATTAACCATTTAATATCATGGATTTAGCTGTTCAAGTAATCAAAATTCATTGAAGATAGGTTGCCAGGCAACAAAACGTACGCCAACAGCAGCTAAATCGTCAGAGCAATTTACAAGGGTTGTCCCATATTTATTCTTTTGTAGGTAATTAGGGGAATTTAACAGACAATATTCATACAAATGACATTATAATTTTTGTTGTTTGAGGGTTCACAAGGTTCTAAAACCTAAAACAAGGGCCGAAATCTAGAATTAATCTACTGAAATTCAGGCTTTTTCGTTTTACTAATCAATTAATGCATATAAATTTCATACAGATCGGATGATAACTTTTGTCGTTCGAACATTCACAAGGAACAACAAAGTGAAACAAGGGCCATAGCTCACAGCGTAATTAACGGAAATTGCTGAAATTCAATAGGCTTCTTCAATTCACTAATTTAAATGATGCATATCAATTTCAAACAGATCGGATCATAACTGTACAAAGTGAAACAAGGGCCATAACTCTAGATGTAATTAACGGAAATTGCTGAAATTCAATAGGCTTCTTCATTTCACTAATTTAAATGATGCACATAAATTTCAAACAGATCGGATTATAACTGTTGTCATTAGAGCGTTCACAAGATTCAACGAAGTGAAAAAAAGGGCCATAACTCTAGATGTAATTAACGGAACTTGCTGAAATTCAATAGGCTTCTTTGTTTTACTAATTTGAATGATGCATATAAATTTCATACAGATCGGTTGATAACTTTTGTTGTTAGAGCATTCACAAGGTGCAACAAGGGCCATAACTCCAGAAGAAATTACCGGTAGTTATTGAAATTAAATAGGCTTCTTCATCTCACTAATGCAAACAACATATATAAATTCAAAACAATCAGATGATAAATGTGAAATGAAATTAAATGAAATGGAGTTTAACGCCCAACTGTGTGCTATGAAGGAAATTTTGCCTGGACAGCGGCACTACGGCCTACTCTTATATCGAATTCCAACTGCCAAGGGATCTTTTACGGTGACGCCAATGTGTACACGGGACCTCGGTTTTTCGTCCCATCCGAACGACTAGACAGATTTCCTTGTCAGCCCCTCCGTCCTGCATCACTGACAAGGGAGAACCACGCCGGAAAATCTGGATGAACTTTCTCGGCCAATGCAGGGATCGAACACCCGACCTCCAGGCTAGCGAGCTAGCGTCTTACCCACGTGATCCCCAGATTATAAATGTAGTCTGTAGAGTGTTCACAAGAAATTGTGGGCGACGGACAGACCGACAGACGGGGGCGACGGCAATATACGACCACATTTCCATGTGGGCCTATAAAAAACAATATACTTGTTCGTCTCAAGACCTTAAACTCTTGTATCAATCTGAAGTCAATCGGATGATAACATAAGCCTCTAGAGCGTCACAAGATATTTCAAAGTGATCAAGGGCCATAACTCTGGTCCTAATTATCAGATATCATTGAAAATCACTAGGCTTCATCTCGTGAAAATAAACACTGTATAAATTTAAATTCAATAGGATATTAAGTTTAACCTCTAGAGCGTCCACAAGATTTTTCAAAGTGATCAAGGGCCATAACTCTGGCAGTCATTATCGGAAATCGCTGAAAATCAATAGGCTTCTTAGTCACATGCCCTTAAACACTGTATAAATTTAAAGTCAATTGGATATTAACTTTAGCCTCTAGAGCGTCCAAAAGATTCTTTTGAAGTGATCAAGGGCCATAACTCGGGCAGTAACTTCTTAGTCACATGCCCTTAAACACTGTATAAATTTAAAGTCAATTGGATATTAACTTTAGCCTCTAGAGCGTCCAAAAGATTCTTTTGAAGTGATCCAGGGCCATAACTCGGGCAGTAACTATCGGAAATAGCCGAAAATCAATAGACTTCTTCGTCTCATGACCTTCAACACGTGTATAAATTTAAAGTCAATCGGATATTGACTTTAAAGCTCTAGAGCATCCACGACAATATACGACCACATTCCCATTGGGGGTGTATAAAAACTAGATAATGGAGAGGCAATTTGCTGAAAATTTCAGTCAAATTGATCGACTATAAACCGAGAATTAAGCGATTGAAATTCCGGCCTAGCCTCGATCATCATTACTTAAGTCGGTACGATAAAAATCATAAGTCTCGATAATCCATTTCATGATTAAGTTATGAATGGAAGTCGAGCAGCAAATGGGATCATAATCCAATAAATATCGCAGGCTAGCAATGTCATCGAGAGTTGAGTATGGTCTGGATTAATTAATTAATGTCTTATTAATGATTTAGATAACATTTCAGGCCTAAAGACAGACCCGCAAATGGCAGATTTAGCTCTTGCATAATGTATGTTTAAACATTCGATGACTAATTCAGTTTTATATCTTAAAATATATAGCAGATGAGTCAACCCCCAGTTATGAAAAATACAGGAAACCAGCAATGAAAGAAACAAGAGAATGGGAGATTTTTTTTTTTTCATCAAATAACTTCATTTTCATTCATAAGAACTTTGATGGAAAATCTTTTTCAGTTTTAGATCAATATTGTTAATGACAAACTGTAATTACGCTTATATTTCTATAACTTTTGAGTCAGATTATTTGCATGTATCGAGATCGATATCAAAGTGTTATAATACTATCGCTAGTTATATAATGAGATGAAAAAGTAATCCAAAATCGCAGATGGGAAGTCGGCTAAATGTCAGTCAATGGCTTCCGATTTCACACTCAAGTCACGTGGCATGAATTGTTTTCTTTCGCGGGAGAATTGTCAAAATCGCATCGAGATTCAGGCCTACTAACCATGGGGAGAGATGACCTAATGGAAAGAACCTTGAACAGGTCTCTATTTTATCAGATATGCTTATGCACAATGCTACCATTACAAGAGAGGGAGAGAAATGGGGTTTGACGTCCACTCGACACAAGACTATGTCATTTCGGAGCCAACATGGTTTAATTTTATTTTATTAATTCGCTTGCGCATAGTGGTATTTAGCAGTGGGAGGAAACCAGCAGCCCTACTCCTTGTCACGTACAACCAGGGATTTGAAACCACACCAGTTAACTCAATGACGGGCCTCATGATACAGCACGCATGTGCTAACCATTCGGCTATCCACCCCCCCACTACCATTACAATATAATTTATTTGTTCCAAACAATAGTAATCACAAACACACGTTGGGCTGTCAAGCATATTACTGGAATTAGAAGTTTCCGGTCAATTTCAACCAATCATGAGGTCGATTTATGAAACGGAAGTAAGGAATTATCTCCTTTTGTGAAAGTAAAAGTAGCCTTGGCATGACCATTTTCCGTGAGAAATCCCCCCCCCACCCCCGTGCCGGAGAAGGGTCGCAACTTCATGAGTCTCACCGAAAAAACAGGTTAGCTAACACGTCTGATATATAGTGAAACCACAAATGTTAATTTTCCAGGAGTTTCAAGGAGTAATCTCGTTTTTCCAATACTGGAAATCACATTTTCATTTTTCCAGGAGATTCAAAGAGTTTCAAGGAGATGTACCCTGTGTCAAGCAAAATAATGATTTGTTCACAACTTGGATAATATTTCAAAGGTATTTACTGAGCCGTTTTTCGACCGATATGCCACTTATTGATGGTGAAACCTATTATCGGATCATTACTAATTAATAGTTTATGTAACATTTAAGACCTAAAGAAAGACCTGCATTAGGCAGATTTAGCTCATAATGCCTGTTTAATCCATGAATTAAATAACTGTACTGGTAATATTTGTACAACACGTTTCTGTCTCAGATGGTGGTGCATGTAAACCATTTTCATAAAATGTTTCAATTATGTGAATTTAACATAATCATCACTGACAGAACAACTACAAAGATTTGGGAGTAGATTTCTCATCATATGCCCACCTAATGCAATATTTTAAAGGAGCTGTTCCAGTTTTTTTTTTAGCAAATAATTTTTTTTTAAATAAAGACTGACATCCACCTTAATCCGGCATAACTATTTGAAGCTCTGTCAATTTTAATACATCACACAAGAAATCTACAAATTGACAGCTGTAGGCCTGAGTAATCATGTTTATTAGTTTGGTGTAGTGTTAAAGTTTTATGTATCCGGCCAAAATTCTTTATCTGAGTTATATAATTCCATTTGGCAAATTTAGTAACATTTACTCAGGAAGTGGACAACCTTTCCCCTTGTAATTAGGTGTTTCGGTACCTTGGTACAAAACGTGTATCGTTTTCGTAATTTGAGTTTAGTCAGAGTTTGCAACCAAACTGTGCATGGTGCATTCTGCCATGTAGATATTGTTGGCCTTCATGGAACTATTAAATATAATTTGGGTCATTTTTTACAAACATGAAGTGGTTTAAAGATGGGACAAATAATCTCAGATTGCCCATATCTCGGTTATTTCTCAATGGATCTTTGTCGGGTTTTCATTTTGGGATTCTTTGGACGGATCCCATAGTGGCTTTGACGTTTTTTTCGAAATTCGAAAGTATGCTCAATTAGTTTTAGAATCAAAGACTTGAGAATGTTTTCTTCAGCATTTTTTCGACATTAAGGTAACGTATCTCTGTTAGTATTCGAGGTATCAAGTTGAAACCGGGTAAGAATAATGAAAATATTGATTCCTTCAAAATGGCATATTACCGGAAATGAAATGAAATGGGGTTTAATGTTCTGCTCCTAAACTGGGCTAGTGAAGACGGGCATACGTCATATAGCGTGCTATGAGGGAAATTTTGCCATGGCAGTGGCGCTACAGCCTACTCTAATATCGAATTCCAACTGTCAAGGGATCTTTTACGTGCACGCCAATATGTACACGGGACCTCGGTTTTTCGTCCCATCAGAAAGACTAGACAGCTGTCCTCCGTCCTGCATCACTGACAAGTGGAAACCACGCCGAAAAATCTGGATGAACTTTCTCGGCCAATGCAGGGATCGAACACCCGACCTCCAGGCTAGCGAGGCAGCGTCTTATCTACTTACACACCATGACCCTTTCTACCAAAAACCTTTAAATCAATATTCAACTCCGATTTTCGAAAACTTTTTTGTTTCGAACCAACTCCAAATGGCAACAATTATTAAGACCTTGAGCAGATTTTTGAATTTTGATTTCGTTTACTTCCGGTTTTACATAGATTTTTTTTTTTGACTTTTGACTTACTATCTGGTGACCTAGCCATTCAATGACCCTTGACCATTGCATATATGAGGAGCCCGATGTTTACTAACAACTAATATCACATATCCAGGTTTTATTAAACATACATAATGCAACAGCTAAATCTGTCTATTGCAGGTCTTTCTTTAGGCCTGAAATGTTATCTAAATTATTAATTAACCTATCCAGACCATAATCAACTCTAGATGGCATCGTTAGTGGATTATGAGCCGATTTACTACATAACTTTCCTCCATGATTTAATGATTAAATGGATAATCGAGACTATGCTGTTTATCGTACTGACTTTAGTAATAATGATCGAGGCCAAGTGGAAATTTCAATCGCTTAGTTCTCGGTTCATAGTGGATCAATTTGAATGAAATTTTCAGCAAATTGCCTTTACATTATCTAGTTTTTAACTATTAAAGTGAGAACTGCCAACTCGTTATCGAATCTCCCATAATGTATCTTTAAGATTTCAAAATGACAGGTTTTTCCACTGGTGTAGTTCAATTGTGGACATGACAAGGCGTGACCTGACGAACCGAAACATGTCAGTTCTAGTTTATCGAATTGAATTGGATCATGTACTTTTAAAAACAAAATGCAATTCATTTGATACTGTGAAATTGGAGATGGCTACTTTAACTTTCTTTGTTATTCCAGCCGACTGTTTTAGTTCTTTAATATCATGCAGTAATCTTTGAACAGTGTTAAAGTGATTTCACAATCATTCCAATGAATCTTTATCCTATCCCTTTATTAATGCATCTGCAATTCAGATATTATTGGGGACAGATTCTGGTATCTAGGCAAAATAAATAACTGCAATGATTATTTCTGTCTCAGATGGTGGTGCATGTAAATCATTTTCATTAAAATTTCAATTAAACGATTTTAACATAATCATCACTGACAGTATGAATTTGTTTCATCTAATAACAGATATTGGTATTTGCTGTTGAACCACCCACCTATCAACTAAGTTTGATAATGCTACCTAGTTAAAGAATTTCAGGAATTGCTTTAAAGGAATACTGTCCCTTAGGTCATTCACATGGTTTTATGAGTTGAAACAAATGCAGAGGCAAGGACATTTATTAAATGGGGAAAGTTTCATTTAATCCAATTCAAAATTATTCTTCTAGAGTGTCTGCAAAAATGCTTGACAAACTACAGATACATGTACATTTACAGTAATTGTGGTAATATTAACTTGGAACTCGGTTAAAAATAAATGTTCATTTTTTATCTTATTTCAGAACTCAAAACAATTTAATTGTGTTAATACTAACAGAAATGATGACAATTTTTGTCATGATAAATTAAAAATTGCCCAAAATTCCACCAACCTCGGACACATCTGTAAAAGATTTTACGTGGAGCACGGAAATGGAAAGGACCTCTTGAAGGCTTTACATTACATCTTTTTTTAATTAAACCCAGATACCTATCTGAAAAACAAATTAATACATTTTAACAATTTATTCAGCATATTATTTTGAAAAATGATAAAAAATTCTTTGACACAAATCATTCTTTGACACTCTCAGTTATAATGTATGAAATGTTTAATCACTGATTCAGACAATGTAGGTATGTAGTCATCATTGAGTGTCTTAACATTATTCAATATGAAGAACTTAAGTACCCTAAAAGGACAAGATCTCAATTTTGGGGAAATATAAAAGTGCATATTGTTTCTGATTAGTTATCCTGGGTCTGGTTCCTATGTTAAGTTAAACTGCAGACTAAACATGATAATAGATTTTTTCTAGGAATCAGACATGTCCCAGGTGTATGTTCTTGCATGAAATAGTTCCAAGATATCAAGTCACATTTCTCAGCTAAGTATCAACTAAGAACACTACATATGGTTCAAATAATCCATCTCAATATTTACAATCAGACTAGAGCTGGGCGATATTGTTTACGTCACATGACTTCTCGCTCACTTTTCCACCCGACCAATACCCTTAGAATTATCTGTGCTATTAAATTTCTGACAAATTGTTTAAACAGATTCTTTGATTTTCCAAAGGAATCATTGATTTTCAAATTGAAATAAATTTTAATAAAGCAAAAATATAAATAATATCAACTATATTGAAAGTTCCTGTAGACTGGTTATCATTCAGCGGTGGATGTGTCAATTATCATGGCGGTCCGTGATCCATAAAAATTAATATTTGAATAAAACAATGGACACATTTTTACTAAGGCCTTATGTTTTATAGTAAAATTTAGTATTTTTGCATTGCATTTTCAAGAAGGTATGCGTTTGAATGAGAAAACCAGCGGCTGCCAGGCAGGATATGCCCACATTTTGCAAGAGATGGATAGAGAACAAGCTAAAAACAAACACGATTTTTTGTACAATCAGGGACAATAATCGAGAAAGTTATGGCCTGAAATGTGCAAATATCAAAAGGGACTGAGATCCTTGGGATATAAAGATACGTTTTAAGTTTCATCAAAATCGGATAAAATTCGAATTCAACCTTCATTATGGTGGAATGGTGATGTATTTAAAACGGTTTTTAAAATCGGATATTAACTTTAGCCTCTAGAGCGTGCACAAGATTTTTCAAAGTGATCAAGGGCCATAACTCTGGCAGTAATTATCGGATATTATCTTTGGCCTCTAGAGTGTCCACAGGATTTTTTGAAGTGATCAAGGGCCATAACTCTGGCAGTAATTATCGAAAATAGACTTCTTCGTCTCATGACCTTTTACATTGTGTTTAAATTAATTTAAAGTCAATCTGATATTAAAGTAGCTAAGTCTCTAACTCATTATCATCCAAAGTCGTCGACATTGAAAACACAAATTATTTGTCAATTTAAATCAACACTGATGTTGTGATCTTATCGGGAAAAGATGGACTTCTGATATCCAATATTAAAGACAAAATAAACATTTTACTATTGGTACACGAATCATGAACCATAATGCGTTTCAGCTCCATTTGTAAAAAGGGGCTCGAAGAACGAAGCTAGATATATTCCACAAGTCGTGTCAACCGGTGACGTCATATTCTTATCTGGAGAGCATGCGCAATAAATACTATCGGTGTAGACTGGAATAACCAGACAATAGAGATTGCCCTTCAATTGAGACTTACGGCATATTTCTCTGAACATAAATGATTTGAAATTAAGAGTAAAGATAGGTTGCCAGGCAACGAAACATACGCCCACAGCAGCTATATCGTCCGGGCAGACAACAAGAGTTGTCGCATATTTTTACTTTTTTCGGTAATGAAACATTTATAATACATTAAAATCCGATTACGAGTAACAACTCATTAATAATTATCAGAAAACCATTAGAATTTGTTTGGTTTTTATAAAGTTCTGCCCCATGCTAACGTTTAGTATATGAAACTTTTAACATCATGGATCTAGCTGTTCAAGTCATAAAAATTCATTGAAAATCAATATACTTGTCCGTCTCAAGACCTTGTGTATCAATCTGAAGCCAATCGGATGATAACTTTAGCCTCTAGAGCGTCGCAAGATTTTTCAAAGTGATCAAGGGCCATAACTCAGGCAGCAATTATCCGAAATCGTTGAAAATCAATATGATTCTTCATCTCATGGCCTCAAACACTGTGTATAAATTTAAAGTCAATCGGATATTAACTTAAGCCTCTAGAACGCCCAAAAGATTTTCCAAAGTGATCAAGGGCCATAACTCTGGTAGTATTTATCCGAAATCGTTGAAAATCAATATGATTTCTCATCTCATGGCCTCAAACACTGTGTATAAATTTAAAGTCAATCGGATATTAACTTTGACCTCTAGGGCGTCCACAAGATTTTATGAAGTGACCAAGGGCTATATATAACTCTGGCAGTAATTATTGGAAATCGCTGAAAATCAATAGGCTTCTTCGTCTCATGGCCTTAAACACTGTATATAAGTTTAAAGTCAATCTGATATTAATTTTAGCCTCTAGAGTGTCCACAATTGCTTGTGGACGCCGGACCGGGTGACAATATAAATAGGCGAATTTTATGTACAATCAGGGGCCGTAATTGAGGAAGTTACGATCTGATATGCGCAAATATTGAAAGGAACCAAGATCTTTGGGATATAAACATGCATTTCAAGGTTCATCAAAATCGGTTTAAAATTGTGACCTCTATAGGGTCCACAAGCTAAAAACGTGATTTTTTCGTACAATCTAGGGCCATAATCCATGAAGTTTCGATCCGATACATGCCAATATCAGAAGCAACCGAGATCTTTTGGAGATAAACCTATATTTCAAGTTTCGTCAAAATCGGATAAGAATTGTGACCTGTACATTGTCCACAAACAGTTGTGGACGTCCGGACGGACCGGGGCGACGAAAATATAGTCCACATGAAAATGTGGGCGTATAGAAACATGTTTGCTAGGGTAAATGAATAGCATCCAATCATACCCAGTCATAAAAAACATGCACGGCCGAAAGAACACAAGCTTTTTTAAAATGTTTTTTGTGCCTCCTTCATGTAAATATTCTTAATTTAAATAAAATATACTTGAAATTAAAATTGTAATAAACATGGACCAATATTTTTAGCAAGTCTTCATGGCTATAGATAGATCTGTGTTTGTACCAGTTCATTAAACTTTGTAAATTCAGTACTGTATTTATGCTTATTTTTTAAAATAATATTGACTAGAAAGTGTCATTTGAATACTCTGGGGGTATTTCAAACTTTTTATGCATGTTTTTTTTTAAACAAGTGACAAACTGAAATTATTGACATTTTAAAAAATATCGCGATATTTGTTTCCAAGGATATCGCCCAGCTCTAAATTGGACTCTAAATGTTCTGTGCCTGCGTGAGGAAATAAGTCAAAACGTTTTTTTGTTTTTTGTAATTACACCCTCAGTTTCAAAGAATGAATAGTCATAATCATATGATCAGACAATGTAGGTATAAAGCATCATTGGGTGGCAATAACAGTAGGCTTTTATAAATGCTATTCCAGTACCTGTATAAGGGTGTTTAGTATCCTAAAATGCCCATTTTAAAGCTAGCTAGCACTGTAAGTTTTGTACTAGTGCTGGCACGATATATTGTTGAATCTATGTATCACGATTCACCTTCTTGCAATTTGTGTATTGAACCGCACGATGCTGAACCGATATATCACGATTCTTTTTTTAATGTTTTTTTTTTGTCACTTCAAGCAGTGACCTGTCACTCTTCATTATCAATGTCACACATTATCCATTGGTACACAAACACTCTTGCCTTAATCGTAGAGACTTGAAATTTGTTAAGGTTTTTCAGGGTGCCTAATTATATCACATCAAATTTTAGACTAATCGGTCAATAATTTTTGCTTGTCCCACCTTCAAAACGAGGAATAGTAGCCATAACATAAATACTTCATATCCATGTAGCAAATGTCATTTGTAATATATCACGGGAAATTAACGTCTTTAAATTCCTGCTGGAAGTTTTGTATAGTTACGTTATTATTAGCACTCACTGCAAAGCACAGAGACAGCCTCGACTGATTGACAAATTAATTGTTTTGTAGTATTTATTAACCTGGTCACTATATAAACATTCTCAAAAGGAAACAAATCAAGTTGATGTGCTGATATATTAAAATAGACAGGATATAGTAAAATTGTTTATATTATCACTGGAGCACATGCTGTGTGTCGATAGGGTCAAACTTGACAACATGTGGGTCACTGGTACCATTCAGCATGGAGTGTGTGTAACAACATGTGTAGTAAATTCTTTGGAAATACTGGACATGTTAAATAATCAAAATTATTTTGTATTTAAAAATCCAATGGTATGCTTTCAAATATTTATGTCATAACTAATCTTATAAAGTATAAGGGAGGTTGTTGTGCAAGATGGAGAAATGAATGTCAAGAATGAATGAATAGAAGGGGTACAAAAAATGTCCATGCTCTAAGTTTTACTACTGAAAATCTGTTATGATTGAGTTTTTCTTGGAATTGGAGAAATAAATGTGAATGTTTTACAGTTTATTTATCTATATTGTTGCTAGTTTAATTCACAAACCATTGAAAGGGCACTAGTACGGCTAAATAGATCACTAGTCCGCACAAAAAACAAATGGGATCATCCTTAGGGTATAAGGAATATGTATGAAAAGTTTTTTTTCAAGATGATCGATTAAGAATTCTGGACTGTAGGTGACACACAAAAAGACCAGTGGCTGAAGGCAGGATACATCCACATTTTGCAAGAGATGGATAGAGAACAAGCTAAAAACAAAGATAGGTTGCCAGGCAACGAAACATACGTCCACAGCAAGAGTTGTTGCATATTTTTTTCTATTGTCGGTAATGAAACATTTATAATACACTAAAATCTGATGAAGAGTAACAACTCATTAAGTAACTTTAGCCTTTAGAGCGTCCACAAAGATTTTTCAAAGAGATCAAGGGCCATAATTATCGGAAATTTTTACGTGTCAAGGGACCTTTTACGTGCACACCAATGTGTACATGTGACCTCGTTTTTATTTTGTCCCATCCGAACTACTAGAAAGCTGTCCTTGTCAGGCCCTCCGTCCTGCATCACTGTCAAGGGCAATATGATTAAAACACAGATCCTATTTTGTTTCGTTTTTATAGTTCAAAATTTCATTTTACTTGTCTTGAGTACTCTAGGATCTGGAAGACTTGTTATCATAATAGGTCCATAACATAACATCTTAACTACTGAGATAGTAAGAAGAGAATACACAATGTGAAGAGGAAGCAAAAAACACAAGTGAAAATACTAGATGATCAAGGGCTGTTCCAAACTATGTAGCAAGAAAAGAATGCATGGGTCATTTTATATGACAGATGTGGCGACCGGTATTAGTATGTGTGCTGCTTTCCCCACCAGACAGAAAAGACCCATGGTGCTACATACTTTATAAGATTAGTTATGACAAATATTTGAAAGCATATCTTTGGATAATTTAAATACAAAATAAGTTTATTTAACATCAGCTAATTCCAAAGAATTTACTACACACAAGCCATGCTCTATGGGATGTTACCAGTGACCTGTATGTCGTCAACTTTGACCCATTGGCACAGCATCCGGTGCTGGAGTGATAATATGAACAATTTTACTATCATATCCTGTCAATTTTAATATTTCCTCACATCAAACTGGTTTCCTTTTGGGACTTTGTTTATGGAAAGATGAGGTTAATAAATACTGCAAAACAATTTGTCAATCAGTTGAGGCTATTTACTGCTTGGCAGCAAGTGGTAATAACATCTACAAACTTCGAGGGGGAATTTAAAGACCTTAACTTCCCCTCTGAGACTTATTACAAATGACAAGTGCTATTTGTATTTATGTGGTCTCGAGTCTTAGTGAAAGAAAATAATGTTGCGGCTACCATTCCTGGGTTTGAAGGTCAAGTATGATATGAAAACGAATACCTGTTAGTAATTTTTTGAACCAGTTGAACAGTGCAGCTGAACAGTGACCGGTTAACCGTTTGCTCCCACAGTTATTTGGGGTATAAACTACATATTAATCACCCCCAAAAGACCAATTTTATTTACCAATTATGTCACAAACTTGGCCCGAAAGCATGATAAAAATGTTCATTATCAAACTTAGTCAAGGTATTGATGTGATGAAACTATACAAATTTCATCACTCTCAATTAGAATTAAAGTTATTGTGTCCCAAAGCATCAGCCAATCAAATTGCTTATCTCGGCTTACCCTTAGCAGAAAATTCTCATCTCCGAACTCCATCAAGGCATTGACCAAATAACAAATGCAATTTTGTGATTGTAAAATGCAACAATTCGGATGTAAAAAGTAAATATTGACTTCATAATCATTGTACTACTCCGCCGCACTCAAAATCATTTTATACAATCAAAATTAATGGTAATCTTCGACCATCGCGCCATAGAGAGAATTTCTTCTGGTCATGTGACTTAATTGGAATACGTCGTTCAGTGTGAAACTGTTGCTGGAGGCAGCCATGATTGTTGACTGCAGATCAAGTAACCGATAGGTCGGGAGAACCTTCTCGCTTGCTATAGATCAGATACTTTTTTTCTTAACGCTTGTATTTCCATTACTACACAACAAATAGTCGGACTATAATGGGTCCTATGTGTTATTTTACACATGGAACAAAGATTGATGCTGCAAACTCAGAGCGTATCTAAGACTACTCAATGCCCTTAAAACAATTACAGTGTATGGATACTTACTCTTTTGTCTGTGGTATTTTCCTGATATATTTATACCTTCACATCTTACAACAATTACCTTCTGACCTAAAAATTAAAGGGATTTTACAAAAACTGAATAGGGACACAATACCAGAGTTGACTGTGAAGAATTTACTCAAAAACTTTTAAGCCCAGCTTGTCTTCATGCACTTGGTTGGTGCAGAAAAGTAACACATTAAACCTTATTTCAATAAGCATAATAATATATCTTTCATTATTTACAGGAGCCACTGTTAGGGTGCCCTCAACAGCCAAATTTTACTCTATTAAAAGTTGAACTCGCCACAGCAATATGCATACTTCAGTGACTAGTCACAAACTGATTTCTGGCTAGGAATCCAGTGCGAGAATAATCAGCAGTATTGTCAGTGAGGCTATAAATTATCCATTGCATGTGAAATTTTCAATACATCTATCGACTATTAAACATACATTATGAAAGAGTTAAATCTACCTAGTATTTCAGGTCTTTCTTTACTGTCTGAACCATTGTAAATTTTAAACTGATTTCTTCAATTATGAACAAACTACTTAAAGCGAGAATTTCATATTTTCTAAGAAAGTCAAAACATAATTATTTCTATGTCTTTTGCTCAATAGGTTATCAACTCACTATTATACAATCATGGGCATTATTTCCCACCCTTAAAAATCATTGACACAGGAAATAATAACAGTTACCTCCCTTGTTTTCCTATTACCTCCATGGAATAGCCATGTTCAAACGTTTGAATTTGAGCGGAAAATGATATTTTTGCCAATTTCTCAGCTGGCAATAGTGAATTATAGGTAGGGGTTATTCTTTAACAAGGTAGGACTGTTTATGGATACCATCTATTTTAAGGCTTTATTTTAATAAATTTTAAAAATATAACTTAAAAATATGAAATTGTAGCTTTAACTTTGGTTATTATAAACTTACCTGTGTGTTTGAAATCAACTCCCGTTAAATAAAATAAAATCCATTGCACAACTAAATATCCCAACACACATAACACACGTATTCTTTTATATTGTTACCGTCTTTTACATTCTAATTCTAGTAAAATCTCTGCAAATTTGATAACTTTACCTTTTGAAATATTTTGTTTCTTTCAAACACACGTGCAGCAAAAAAACAATTACATTCGTTTTACCGGCCTAAGATATTACCTATGATTATCTTTAATATGATATATATACAAGCAATATACTTATAGATGTTATTGAAGCCGTAATTATTTGATCGAAAGAATGCTATCAAATTAACAATACACTCGGAGACTTCTGAGGTGAGCTTCATGATCCTTGTTAAATTGTTTATAACAAAGATAGGATATTTTTAGTTTTTATATGACTTATTTTTAGGAGTATCCGTACAATCAGTGATATTTTCGTTGTGAATAAAATATGATGGACTGGCGATCAATGGTTTCAATATAAATCTATGTAATTGCCTTCAGTTGATATTTTTCGTTTCCCTAACTAAAATGATTGCGCTTTGTTTTCATTGCAACGCGTGGTTGTCAAACTATCTGTCAAAATTAAACCACCCCCGCAACAGCTGCATTGGTTTCGCCCAACACTTTACGAAAGCATTGTTGTCATCCACTCAGATGAAATTACCAGTAAATAGTCAAATTTGTCAGGAGAGAACTTTTCTATTCGTTGGGATATTTAGTTGTACAATGAATTTTATTGAACAGGAGTTGATCTCAAACACACAGGTAAGTTTATGATAACCAAAGTTAAGTAGCTTGTTCATAATCGAAGAAATCCATTTAACATGTTATCTGAATTATTAATTACATTAATTAACTTATCCAGAATCGCTAAATTCTCGGTTCAGAGTGATCAATTTGACTGAAATTTTCAGCAAATTCCTTCTCCATTATCTAGTTTTTAACTATTATAGTGAAAATTGCTAGCTCTTTATCTAATCTCCATTAATGTATCTTTAATCACTGGTATTTAAAAATAAATATTAAAAACTAACCTTGAAGAAGGGTTTTGGCAACAGTTGCGGCCAATCTGCCCAGTAGATGCCCACGGGCATCTAGAATGACGGGCTGCAATAAATAAAAAATCAACAGATTTAATAAAGAGTCCATCTCAAGTCCGATACACCACAGGAGTGAATTTCTATCTGTACTAGACAATATACAATAAAAAAGGACCAGGAATGCAATGCCTGGTGAATCCTCGATTTTACCTGCTCTCGCTCGAGGTCTTTTTTTTTCAATACTTTATAATGTCTTGGAATCTAACCTCCACTGACTCCCTCAGATGTATTTTTTCTTCAATCTACTTGTTTTGATTTGCATAAATACTAGCAAAATATGATCATAACCACTTGTTTCCAATCCTTAAATTACTTCCCTCTAATACATTAATTTGTGCGTTACCCTATATTTAGATTTCAATGGTGTCTGCCAAACCATTTAGCAGAAGGGGATGTATTTTTAACAGCATGTTGTGTCGCACATACTGACTGTAGCGAGGTAAGCAAGGTCTTATTTTCTCACTAAAATGTTCCTTTACATTGTTCAGGCGTTGACACCTGACTGTTAAGCAGTAAAAAATTGCCCAGTAAAATTGACTGGGAAGCGAAAGTTTTTCAACAAGGATTCAAAAGGATGGTTCCTAGACGTACAGGGCGAGTGTAATGAGACCTACGTTCAGAGCTGAACTATGGTTTGACATGACTTGTGGAATATGTCTAGCCTCGTTCTTCGAGTCCCTTGTTACAATTGGCGCTGAAATGCATTATATATATGGTACACGTTTCGTGTAGGCCTACACAGTGGCTATTGTTACGATGAGTCGTAAAATTCGTCCTCAGGGTATTGTTTTGTTACGACCATTAATTACTTCTCTGAATCAATGGATTTCAACTTCACTGCAGGGCCGGATCCAGGGTTCTGTGCAAACCACTAATGCATGTGGCACTCTGATGATTACCCTTTGCTCCAATGTATGCCCCCCCTCGACAAAATCCTGGATATGGGCCTGACTAGGGTTAGGGTTTAACCCTACGAAGTGTATATTTTGCTGTCTGACGGTTCTTTACTTTATTACTATTTAGCCGTACTTCCGTTCGACATGCGCAGTTGTCGATTCCTGATATATTCCACCATTTTGGAACATTAAGAACAACTTGTCTTTCAAGTTCAGTGCAGAAGCACGATTTTACGGGAAAAACGTAAACCACTGACAGTCTAAGTACTTAAATTAAAAACCAAAATCCGCAGAAATGCGCCCTTGACCAAAATAGAATAATATTCTTAATGCGTTTCTACAATTTACATTTATTATCTTATTTTCTTTTAAAAAAAATTCTCCAGTTTCATCTGACATTAAGTATGGCTATTTGCTTCCTTATAAGAAACGGAGAAAGAAGCAATGTTAGACAAAGGACGAATAGAACTGTCTGGTGGTTTTGGGTTAGGTTTAGGTTATGTGTTACTGTTAGACGGTAAAATAGCCCACGAGTTGAAAGCCGGCATCATTGCCAAAGGGAAAACTGCTTAGTCCAGGAATCGGACAACTGCGCATGTCAAACGGAAGTGACGGCTAAATAGTAAATAAAGTAAACTGCGCATGTCAAACGCAAGTGACGGCTAAATAGTAAATAAAGTAAAGAACCGTCGGACGGCAAAATATAAACTGCAGTGCCTAGTATGCCTTAACCTTTGCCAATGGAGGGCTCTGAAAGCACCGTTGTAACAATAGCCTGAGGACTATTTTTACGTCTTGTCCGAACAAAAGCCACTGCGTTTCGTCGTGTACCAATGGTAAAGTGTTTATTTTCTCTTAACTATAGATAGGCTATTATTACTATTGGATATCTAAGCCCATCTTTTCCCGGCAAGACCACGACATAAATGTTGATTTAAATTGACAAATAATTTGTGTTTTTAATATCGAAGACTTTGGCTAATATTGAGTTAGAGCTTTGAGTTTATGCTTTAATTCGTAAAACGTTGGTGACGGTGATGGGTTGTCTTCTACTTGTTACACTTACTGACTTAGTCTTATTATTGGGCCCTCATTTTTATGTTATTTGAGAGTCTTACCACTCAATACAAGAAATGTTATTTACAGAAAAGCAATAATTAAATCTTTAAAATTAATTTATTTCTGTCAGCTGGGTAAAAAACGATTTAATTTCGACGAATAATTTTTAAGCACCTTCTTACTGAACAGCATGATGGCAAAAAGACCGTTTTCGGGGCTCACACGTGGTCGTTCACGGCGTACAAAGGAAGTTAAGATAACTCTAATACTGTAAACTTGACTTTCCAGCATTTTTGTGGGGAAACAACTCAATGGCGTTTTTATCGACATCAGGCTTCAGACTAGCAATTATTTTCCCATTGACTTCTTAAATGGCTGTAATATCACAGGCTGTAGCCTTTTGCTCAACATTCCAATGGTTCCAATCTTTATAGACACAATAGAGACCACATTTGGCAATCTCCTCATCATAATTTTGTAGAGGGTTGACCGTTTAGATTTTTTGCTACAGAGAGATTTATTATATTATAGTTTATAGTTATATTATAGGCCTATTGACTGGGGGGAAAATCTCACTTCCGACACAATGATTGCTCTGCAGAAAGACACTTTACACCCCCTATCCCTGTGCTGTAATATCATCAGTATTACCCAAAACTGCTATGAAATTGCAAATTTGGTCCTTTTTCTCCAATTCTAGACAAACAAGCCAACAGTGAGGCTGATGTCCCCCGCCAAAATCCGAAAATAAATAGATGACACATATTAATTAATCGCACATTTATTTTTTTCAAAAGTATCAAGCAATCAAACTATACACTAAGTTTCATCACACTATCAGACAGAATCAAGATTATCTTGTCCCAAAGCATCTACCAATTAACCTGCACTAATGTCATCCCTCTCAGTGATTGTAGTGGCCTAGCGAATATTCACTGCCGATCAGTATAATAAACAGCAATGAGGATTCTTAATTCATATATGCCTACATTGTTTTTCTAGTTTATTCTATTCTTGTGTAATATCCTAATTAATGAACCTGCAGTGATCTTTATTTGTATTCCCAATTGTTTATGTTGTTGTTCTATTCTTTAATAAAGCGCTTCCGTACTATCTGAATCAGTGGAAGTAGAGGTTCAATTCAACTGCTACTATTCTATTGTCTTAATCATAGAAACCTAGTTGAAATGTCACTGTAATAAAATACAAGTAATTGTTATTATCCATATAGTTACTTTTATTCAGTTTACATACTGTCTTATCATTTTTTTATGCTAGTGTCATTTGCTTGATTGAATAAATTTAATAGCAATCAATTGGGTTGTTGAAAAGCTCTCTAGTTGAGTGTTTGATAACCACAATAAAAAGAAAATGAAACAACATTATCATAAATTCTTGATTGTTATAAAATAAGTTCCATATAAGCCTAATTGAAACATAACTGATGCCTTTTCTCTTTAGTCCCATGCACAAGGAAATGAAATGAAATGGGACATAACGTTCTACTGTTCTGCTCCGAACTGGGCTAATGAAGATGGGCATACGCCATACAGTGTACTATAAGTGAAATTTTGCCCAGACAGTGGCACTACAGCCTACTCTTATATCGAATTCCAACGGTCAAGGGATCTTTTATGTGCATGCCAATGTGTACACGGGACCTCAGTTTTTCGTACTATCTGAACAACTAGACAGCTGTCCTTGTCAGGGGTTTAACGGTCTACTTTTCTGCACCATTTGGTTTAATGAAGACGGGGGGAGGGAAGCCATGCAGTGTCCTGTGAGGGAAATTTGGCCGGACAGCAGTGCTACAATTTTCTCTTTTTTTTGGAATTCCAACTGTCAAAGGTTCTTTTACGTTTAAGGGACCTCATTTTTTCTTCCATTCAAACAACTAGATGTTCATTGCAATGACTGACAACATGACACTACACTAGAAAACCCTGAGGAACTTTCTCGGCCAACACTAGGATTGAACCTGGGATCTGGTTAGCAAGCCAGTGCCTTACTCACTGAGGCATCACAGTTCTTCCCACTAAAATAACAAACACAGATCTTTTGAAGAGTATTTATTTACAAGAAGAACTGCCTATAATAAATCTCTTTAAACCGATGTAATTAATATATAGCAATGCAAGATACATGTACATACATTTACATAATAAATGCAACACACTATTAACTAAAAAAATTATCATTAAGTTAAGATTTTAGAAATATGTAAATAAATGTATTCCCTCTATAAACTAGGCATTCATTTGTCTAGTAAGACATTGAAGTTACAGAGATTTTGATAGAACATTCAACCCTTAAACTATATATATACAATAATAACTAAATCTACATCAAAAAGGTCTACATAAAATGTTTAAAGCACATAAAGATATGTACAAAGTTAAATTTTTTCAGTGTAGAAAATAACTGCTGTTATTGTACGATTACTAACCCTTAAATTTTGTTTGAATATGTAATTTCTTTATTTGGAAACATGGAATGAAAAAGGGAAATTCCATCCAAGAATAATACCGATCTAAATAATACACTCAAAACGGGTATAGGTAGTTATCTTAAATATTTTTTCTCATTTCTAATATTTATGCAGAGCAAAAGCCATTTCAACTGAACTATTTATAAACAACGAATCACAGCCATCAATGAATCCATTTAATTATCCCATTGTTCAGTTAGACACAGCTTCTTTATCATTTTCTTTAGTGTTCTTGATCTTGTAATCACTCAAGGCAGCTTTAATAGCATCCTCCGCCAACACTGAAAATAATATAAGTACAATATTGATATCAATTGTAGCACTTGATTATATAAAAGGAACAAATCTGGTTCATTTAAAATTACAAGCACCTACTACCAACGATCAATTACCAACTATCATTCAATAATTATAAGTAAAAAAAATATGCTTACTAGAACAATGTAATTTCACCGGTGGTAAACTCAATTCCTTGGCAATATCAGTATTCTTGATACTCGTTGCTTCATCAATCTAATTAATACATAAAACATGTATTAAAGTCTCTGTACATTATTTGTATTTTTCCACATCATTCTTAATCCAGGATCCTAGCTAACATGTACTCAAATTGATTATTAAACATTAAATTAAGAAAACAAAATAAAAGTATCAATGGTAGATAATCTCCCATCTTGGATTCAATCGGATTAAAAAGAGGCCCATCAAAATATTTTAGCAAGGATTACAGGTGGCGGTGATTTTTATTATATTCCGTTTATATCATCATCATTTTTGCAAAGACTTAAAATAACTAAGCCATTTTTGGACTGATATTGATATTCCTGTTAGAGATTCAACTTCCGCTATAGTGAACTTTGCAAAGGGATTCCTCAATCCCTAAATGGCGTTCACAGAATTTAAGCTTGTCCTTTTTAAATACTGTTTCCTTGATATAATATCCTGGGACAAGTAAACACGGTAACTATGATAAACAGAAAGTCTCATAATATTAATTGTATTTAATAGGCTAGCTACTTACCGACTTTCCTTTGATCCATTCTGTTGCCAATGAACTTGATGCAATAGCAGATCCACAACCAAAAGTTTTGAATTTAGCATCAACTATTTTACCATTATCATCCACTTTAATCTAATATAAAGAATTTTTTTAAGTCATAAAAATCACAAAAGCCTTTTTATTCAATAGCCTAATTAAAATTTTAACCAGAGAGAGAGAGAGAGAGAGAGAGAGAGAGAAATGGGGTTTAACGTCAACTCAACACATACTAGGTCATTTCAGGACTAACATATGGGTTAATTTTATTTCAATAATTCGCTTGCGTGTAGGGGTCTTTAGCAGTGGGAGGAAACCGGAGGACCTGGAGAAAACCCACGAGGTTGGACAGGCAACCCTACTTCTTGTCACGTACAACCGGGGATTCAAACCATGCCAGCTGACTCAATGACAGGCCTCGTGATACAGCGCGCGCGTGCTAACCATTCGGCCATCCAACCCCCCCAAATTTTAACCAACATTGTTAAAACTGAAATTAATAATAATGTTGAGCAGCTTTTCCTTACATTTGCCTGTGGGAGGATAAACAATCCTTTGACCTTTACCTATGCATATCAAGCAGAGGGTCGAGGAGTGCTACAACCTTCTGCCCCTCCACCAAAACATAGGTTGCCAGGCAATGAAACATACACCAACATCAGGTAAGTCCAAGCAGTGCACAACGGGTGTCGCATATTACATTTTTTGTCGGTAATTAAAGCATTTACAGACATTTGAAACTGATTAAGACTAACAACCCATTAAGTAACCCATTCAGATTTTTTGGGCTTTTAGTTCTGTCCCATACTTGGTCTCTAAAGCATTTAAAAGATTTTTCAAAGTGATCAAGGGCCATAACTCTGGCTTTAATTATCAGAAAATGTTGAAAATCAACAGGTTTCTATGTCTCGTGACATTGACCACGGTGAACAAATTTAATGTCAATCGGATGTCATACTCCTCGCAGTGTTTCGTTTGATTAGACCTAATCCCACTAAACAGTGCCGTCATGAAAGCAAATTTCTCTTCCAAATTTTGACTGGTCAATAGTTCAATTAACAACCAATGCTTAACTGCGTAACAATATCATTCGGGTTTAAACAGAGCTCCAAACTTCTTTACATAACATTACGTCATAACTCATGAAATTTTATTATGCCCATTTAATCAGTGCATAGCAGAATATTGCAGAAAGACTAATTGCGTGCCAAACGAGGCTATCAAAACGAATGGTGGTGGGGGTGGATGGCCGAATGGTTAGTTAGTGTGCGCTGTATCATAAAGACTGTCATTGAGTCAACTGATATGGTTTCTATTCCCCAGTTGTACGTGACAAGGAGTAGGATCGTCAGTCCAACCCTGTGGGTTCTCTCCAGGTCCTTGATTTCCTCCTACAGCTGAAGACCCCTACGCGCAAGCGAATTATTGAAATAAAATTGAGCCTTGTGTTAGTCCCAAAATGACCTAGTTTGTGTGGAGTGGATGTTAAACCCCATTTCTCCCTCTCTCTCTCTTGGTATCAAAGCGGCTACAATGTCAACAATATTAGTTAGAGAAGAACAAAACTTTCACCGTTTTTAATACCTTAAATTACTGTCCAAAGTTTTAGGGAAGACCCCAGCTCAAATTAAGGGCTGTCATGTTGCTGTACTTAGGAGATATTTGATTGAACAGAAAGAATAGACACATTCCCTCAAAAGCTCAAGCATCAGAAGTCAATCCAGCAATGGCCAGAGAGGGATTTCTCAGGCCATTGCTTTAGGAATATGATCGGATGTTAACTGTAGCCTCTAGAGCATCAACAAGATTTTTCAACATTATCAAGGGTCATAACTCTGGCAGTAATTATCAGCAATGCTTGAAAATCAATAAGATTCTTCCTCTCATGACCCTGAACATTCTGTATAAATTTAAAGTGAATCATATGTCAATTTTAACCTTCAAAGTGTCCACAAGATTTTACAAAGCGATCACGGACCATGACTGTGAGTTATTATTGGAAATCGTTAAAAATGAAATGGCTTTTTCATCTCCTGACCTTGAACCCTGTGTATAAATTGATGGTAACTGTAGCCTCTAGAGCGTCCACAAGCAACTGTGGACTCTGTACTGACAGACGTAGGGGATGATAACAACCACATTTCAATGTGGGCATATAAAAAGCCCCTGGAGATAACTTTTTTGAGGCAAAAAGGATATTTAAAAAAAAACCTAACATAATTCCGGGCAGCAATTAACAAATTTAATAGGGCCAAAGTACCAATTGGACAAAATGTTTACAGTTCTTCTATCATATAGGGTACCGACTATGATCTATTAGATATTGAATGATTTGAATATTGGCTTGAAATTTCTTAATTTCAAACTAACCTGTAATTTCATAACATCGCCGCAGGCAGGTGCGCCAACCAGTCCTGTCCCAACATCTTTATCTTTTTTATCCATAGAGCCAACATTTCTTGGGTTTTCATAATGATCAATGACCTGTAAGTATAAATAATATTCTAGGCATTTAAGATTATTGCAATATTTACATTGCTTTAAGGCTGAATAAGTCTAAAAATAAATCAAGCCTGTCATGATCATTGACATTATTATACACTAGGCCTACGTCATATTCTACAACTTAGTTAATTTTTCGGAATTCGTAAAAGATTGATCAATCACCAACATTTAAGCTCACTTTTTTACTGAGACACCATAAGCAGGCATAGACCAATACAGAACATTTAAGCTCACATTTTGACTTAGACACCATAAGCAGGCATAGACCAATATAGAACATTTAAGCTCGCATTTTGACTGAGACACCATATGCAGGCATAGACCAATATAGTACTACCACTAGTAGCCTATACTACACAGTACTAAATTTAAAGGAGCTAAATCGCTAATATTTTGGGGCTAGAAATTGGCACAAATGGGTCGCAACACATATAATAATGTAATATGAATTTATATAAACTGTTTTACATTCAATCATTTCTGTTTTACTGTGAATTGTCATCAGTTATGTTCGGCAAAATACTCCAGAAGTCTCAACCGAAAGACAGTTTCTAGCATCTGGTTATTCCAGTCAACACCAATAGTATATATTGATGATGCTCTCCAAATAAGAATATAGCATCACCGTTTGACATGACTTGTGGAATATGTCTAGCCTCATTCTTTGAGTCCCTTGTTACAAATGGCACTGAAATGCATTATGGTACACGATACGTGTACCAATGGTAAAATGTTTATTTTGTCTTAAATAATTGGATATCAGAAGCCCATCTTTTCCAGGTAAGACCACAACACCAATGCTGATTTAAATTGCAAAAAAAATCGTGTTTTCAATATCGAAGATTATGGAAGATATTGAGTTACGGACTTAGCTACTTTAAATCCTAGTATACTATTAGGAGATGTCTCAGACTTATTTCAATGAAAAAAATAGTATGTAGGAAGCCTATATTTGCTATGCCAATATTACGAAAAGAAAATAAAGGTCATCATGTTTTGATGTAGGGGAATTCCATTAAACTGTACAGGCCTACTAGTACTTGGAACAAACTCCTTGGAACCCTTGATTCCTATCACATTACATTATTAATACATATTATATTAAACTCAACCATCAGTGTAAAGCTTTTATTATGTTTCCAATCTCGGAAGTTTTCATATGTCATCATGCCATGTCAATAGTTGCATCATCATCAACAGCAGGACAGTTGGGCATGGTACTAATGGTAGTAGGTCTTACAGGTACAAGTCTCGATCATCGTGCGGGGCGGGGGTCTCTGTGTGACCATAGATTATGGTGTGACGTAGGGGTGTCGAACCGACTATGGTTTTAGGAGTCATAATACTTGTAGCTACAAGAACGTTACGATATTACTAACATGTTTTTTCTTAGCTACGACTGGGGAAGTATCTTCTACGAGGAAAAAAAGTATTTCAACACGAGTCATACAGTTGCTTTGCTTAAATAATAATAATTAATTAATATACCGTCATACTCATTCATTGTCATAATCGTCGTGTTACTGTTAACTTAGATTTTTGAAAGAAATCATAGATGCTACCTAATTATATGTGATAAAATAGAATATTTATTAGAATATAGAGCAATCGTGAAAATATTTACATTTTTATGATACAGGGCAACAGACACAGATGATCGTGATTCGCCTAAAAGACGAATCGATTTTCCAACTCCTCTTAAAACGGCCATGCTTGTTTATTTTCACTGTTTACAACTCAAGGTCACTAATCATGCGCTGTAAGTGTTGGTGTTATGCAACGGTTCTAAAACTATTTTACGTGAAAATGTCAGAGTCAATGCCTTGTACTGTTATCATGATTATAAGCTTCTGTCATTGTTGTGGACCAGGTTATTATAAATTACTTGTATATTCGCAATAATTAATGTTTTTTGGTGGATTCTTTGACCGCGTAGTAATACAAAAGAGAGAAGGGAAATAAGTTCACGCCCTTCAATAAAGTAAAAGCAGCAAGATGTTTACGTTTTCTACAGCCTATTTATTATATCATCTCCGACTGCAGACGTGGATAGGGGACAAAGAGGGGAGAGCATTTTTCGTGGGATTGTAGCCTACAAATGGCGATATATTACTGTAGAAAAGAGATCGTTCTGTAGATTATTCCGGCGGTTGAAGTGACGTATGACCCGATGATCGAGATTTAATGGAGAGAGAGAGAGAGAGATGGGGTTTAACGTCCACTCGACACAAACTAGGTCATTTCGGGACTATCATATGGTTTGCTTTTATTTCAATAATTCGCTTGCGCGTAGGTGTCTTTAGCAGTGGGAGGAAACCGGAGGACCCGGAGAAAACCCGGCGAGACTGGACAGGCACCCTATACGCTCCCCAGCGGGCACAGAACGTTGTGACAACGTTTTTCAGAGGTTGTATCACAACGTCTGAAATAAGTCAGCTGTAGGTTGTTTTGCAACAAACTCTTACGTTGTGACAACGTTGTACGGACGTCAAAGCAACATTGTCACAACGTTGTGTGGTGGTTGACGAAAGGTTGTGTGGTGGTTGACGAAAAGTTGTGACAACGTTGTACGGACGTCAAAGCAACATTGTCACAACGTTGTGTGGTGGTTGACGAAAAGTTGTGACAACGTTGTACGGACGTCAAAGCAACATTGTCACAACGTTGTGTGGTGGTTGACGAAAAGTTGTGACAACGTTGTACGGACGTTCAAGCAGCATTGTCACAACATTGTGTGGTGGTTGACGAAAAGTTGTCACGACGTCAAAATTTGTTGTTTTGCAACGTTGTGTGGTGGTTGGCGAAAAGTTGTCACGACGTAAGAATTTGTTGTTTTGAGGTTGTATAAAACCCAGTATAAGCCCCATCCGAACTCCCTACAGTTCTGCCCCTACTGGACTAACGAAGACGGGACTAGGCGGCCGGGCAGGATGGAAGTTAAATTAGGTGTGTGTGCGGGGAAGGGGGGGGGGGTAAATGCCCGACAGATTTGGGCCACGGTTTTGACATAGTGAAACGATACGCGAAGTTTCAACACTCTCACTCAATTAGAATCAAAGTTATTGTGTCCCATCACAACCAATCTAATTGCTTCTTTCTGAATAAAATCAGTATCAATTAATAGGACAGTACGTAGTTTCAAAACATTCAATTCAAACGATTATATTACAGACAATATTAATGCTAGAGTCATATAACTTTGCAGTAATGGGTAAAGGTAATAGAATCTGATCATTAAATTTTAAGTAATGGTCATGTAATGAGTAATGGAAGATTTCAAAAGTAATGAGTAATGGAAATGTAATTAATTACATTCCGAAAATCATGTAATGGTCAATTACATTTCAATTACATTTAATGGCGCATTTTTGAATGGCATTTAGTAATTGGAACATAATCAAAAAACACACTTTTATGGAATAACAATTACTATGGTTTATTTCACTGCAACGTTTCAACAAGATTTCTCAAGTCGTTTTCAAGCATATATATACAAATAAATAAAATGAGAAAGATATGAATATATATATAAACATCAGTGCGAACTATCCAATGGTATGCAAGGAAGGTGAACATGAGTAGCTTTCACAAGCTATTGATGAAACAACGGTAAATAATCGTATATACTAGGATTAACTCATTATACAATTAAAAGATCAAACAGAGGATTGTTGAGCTGTACTGAAACCATACACATTATACTATATAATTGAAACCAGTTTAAAAGAAAATAAGGCATAGATCTATACATGATTAACTAAATATACATTCATAAAAGATCAAACAGAGGATTTACAGACATATATTACAACCATACTCTTATGCATTCAGTGATAACTAGAGTTTTAAAAGCATATAACAAGGAAACATATTTAATGTTATTACATTTTATTACTATTTAAAGATTAGTGCTAATTTAGCATTTAATCAATCAGATTTAAAGACATGGTAAAACTATTGTCTTTAAATCTGATTGATTAAATGCTAAATTAGCTCTAATCTTTAAATAGTAATAAAATGTAATTATTTACTTTCAATGTAATGGGTAATGGTAATGAATGATATTGCTAAAAATGAGAAAGTAATTTTAATGCAATTGGTACCGTAATAATAATAAAAATTTATTTATTTATAAAGCGCCTGTTACCAATATAAAACACTGCTCAATGGCGCAGTTAACATTTTGTGGACATCACACATAGAAAATAAAATAAAATTAAATGGATGATAAAAGAACTTAAAATGGCTTATAAAGATTATAATAAAATATGACATGTAATAAACAAATTAAAACTGTACATGTACTTAATTGGTCCCTCTTCTGTCGGGTGCATATTTTAGATGAGCCGAAACTGCTGTTATTATCTCGGCTTCATTGCAGCTCGGCTGACTGATCATTACACTATCTGAAGAATACAAAAAAACTGTATATTTACTCTGTCAAATTTTGTAAATTATATAATTGAGTCCGATCAAAAAGGTCGTCTTAAAGCTGTAACAGATAATTCTGCATCCCATGAATTATGGAGCAAAGGTGGCTAATTGGGTAAAACGCTGGCTCGCTTGTCTGGAGGTCGCATTTTCGATCCCTACATTTGCCGAGAAAGTTCAGTAGGCCTGACAAGGACAATTCGTTTGGATGGTATGAAAAACCGAGGCCACGTGTACACATTGACGTGCAAGTAAAAGATCTCTTTGGCAGTTGGAATTCGATATAAGAGTAGGCCATAGTGCCGCTGCCCGGGCAAAATTTCCATCATAGCACGCGGTATGGCTCATGCCCGTCTTCATTAGCCTAGTCGGAGCAGAACAGTAGGACGTTAAACCCCATATGAATTATATTAATATATGACCCAATAACACATTCTATATGAGACATCGCTTGTGTTATAACTTTCATATTCTCCATGAATTTGTACGTGTAAGAAAGGCTTGGGTGTAAATTACAAAAAAAAAAATCAATACTCATCGATGAAGTAATAAAAACTCCTGTATGCCCATACCATGTTTGATTATCCGATATTTAAGGATATGTTCGTAAATTGAGTATGATAAAAACAAACCTTGGACAACTTTGTAAATTTCTAAGTCCATTATGGACCGCCTCCCTTTATTTCCCTTTAAATTAAATTGGGCCATTAGGGAATTAGACATCAACCTGTTAAAATAAAAAGACATACTGTTTATGCGTTTGACAATACCACGAATTTTGACTTTCCATTCCTTGACACCTAGAAATGGACATAAATGGGTTGCAACGCATATAATAATGTAATATGAATGTATATTAACTGATTTACATTCAATCGTTTCTGTTTTTACTGTAATGTCTAATCAGTTATGTTCGGCGAAATACGCGAAGAGAGAGAGAAATGGGGTTTAACGTCCACTTGACACAAACTAGGTCATTTCGGGACTAACACATGGTTCAATTTTATTTCAATAATTCGCTAGCGCGTAGGGGTCTTTTTAGCAGTGGGAGGAAACCTGAGGACCCGGAGAAAACCCACCAGGTTGGACAGGCGACCCAACTCCTTGTCACGTACAACCGGGGAATCGAAACCCCGCCAGTTGATTCAATGACAGACCGTATGATACAGCGCGCGCGTGCTAACCATTCGGCCATCCAACCCCCCATACGCGAAGAGTCCAAATTGAATGCCAGTCTTTGGCGTCTGGTTATTCAAGTTTACACCCGCATATAGTTAAGTATTCTCTTGGGTATATTTAACTTCATTCTTCGAGTCTCTCTATTACAAATGAAACTTGAAAGCATTCATGCACGCGATTCGTGTGCCAATTTTAAAACTTTAACTTTGTGTTAAATATTAGACATTAGAAGCCCATCTTTTCACGGTTACAACACTGATGTTGAGTTTAATTAAACAATGAGTCCCATGTCGAAGACTGTGGATGATATTGAGTTAGAGACTTGACTCCTTTAAGACGAAGACGATTGGAAAACGAATGTACGATTATTTTATCAATTTGTTTTCAAAAGAAAGAATACGACTTTAAACTGGTAACCACCAAGGCTCATCAGATGGGTTACCTATAGCTATAACAGGAAATAAATGAAACACATCTAGTATATTATTATATTTCAATCACTGTAATATTTACAATCAATGTCAGTTCAATTATGCAGGTGTATGCTCATGAATATTGATGTTGTACATTTAATAATAAAATTACCCTTCACTTGAATTAAATCTAAAACCCACAAGCATGCAATTAAAGAGCTGTGGTGTTAACAGTCGCACTAGCCCGACATTAATATCCACCTGTCCGTAGTTCGACAAAGTACAAGATTTAATTTTCAGAGCATATATGTTTTGTTGCGTGTCAACCTATCTTTTTAATTAAGATCGTAGACTTGGTTGCCTAATAATTAAGATGTATACAGCGACTTGGTTAACTGTTCACGGTTCGGTTACTACTGGTGAAACGGTTAAAAAAAAATACAAACCGATATTCGTTTTCATATCATATTTGACATTCAAAACCAGGAATGGTAGCCAAAAATGTTTTCATTCACTAAAGACTATATAAATAGTTCATACAGCACGAGTGCATATATCACTTGTCATTTGTAATATATCACAAGTTTTGTATACGTTACATTACTATTAACACTCCCTGCAAAGCTTCATGAAATTGGTAACCCTATAAATTTAAAGATAATAGATACTGGGAAAGTCCATTATACAATACTATAAATATTGTAATGGCCCCTTCCAATTCCAGACATAGATTGAAATAGCTCTTTCTAAATCCAGACATAGCAATTAACCAAAAACTAAATGATTAAAATGCAATACAATTATAAAATAAAAACACTAAAGTTTCAGAACTAAAATAAATCATTTAAGAGGTAATAAAACATATTTAAAATACTCAATTTACTTTGCAAGGAGGGTTCAATAATGAAATGACAATAGAAGTTCGGCTACCAGTAGAAAATAATCTACAATTACCGAAACAATTAATTCTTTTATATCATAATTATTTCTAAATGGACACAAAATATTAATTAATCGTAACATACCTAATTTTCAACTTTTACGCCTTCTAGCAACTTATAAAACTCGATAGTTTATCACAGCTCTAATAAAGCAGCCATGCCGGTTTGGCTAGGATTCCTTTTTGGCGGAAAGATGTTTAAATTTGATTGGACCAACTGTCAACCTTGGGTGTGTTTTAAAATAAAATATGTATAAGATAATTAATCTTGACCTTTATTGGGTTTTTTTATATACCGGTACATTAAATATAGATATTTTGCAATTAAGTTATGAACGTAATTAAGTTTTAAAGGTGTATTAAACGTTTAATAAATGTTTTTAAAATTTTTTTTTTACCTATTCATTGCGGGTTCTTTATAAACGTTTCATAAACGTTAAAAAAAAATCATATTTACGGTACTACGTTTTAATGGAAAATTTTGAAAGAAAACATCAATTATGAACGTTATCTAAACATATTATATTAAACATTTTTATCAATATTTATCGAAAACTTCTGAAAAACTTACACTTAAAACATTTAAAAAACGTTTGATAAATATTTTTTTTTTACATAACCTTTTAGAAACAAAAAAAATTAACAAAAACAAAAACAAAAAACGTTTTTAAAATATTTTGTGCTTGCTGGGATTCACTTAGACCTGTAATTAATTAAATAATGGCCAGGTTTCACACTTATATATACTGAGCGCCATGGAAAACGCATCACTTAGTTTTTCGTATAACAAAATGATCCTGTAAACATATCTTATTTATTTTGCTTCTTATTGTGAACAATATTCAAATGGGAACACATCAATAACAACACATTTGTACACTTATAGATGTTTAATCTGTAATCAACGTTACAAAGTCAGATGTGTGTCCTCCGCGGGCTCTTACGCACGCTGTGCAGCGACGTTGCATGGAATTAACCAATGTTTGAAAGAAGGCCTGGGGCAAATTGTTCCATTCTTGGACAAGAGCAGCTTCTAAAGCAGCAATGGTGTGCATCTGTGGTCTCCGATACAGACGGCGTCCAATCGCATCCCAGACATGTTCTATCGGTGCCATGTCCGTAGACATGGCTGGCCAGTCCAAGACATTGATGTTGTTAGCAGCCAGGAAGTCCATACTAAAACCGGCGGTATGCGGACGCATATCATCCTGTTGGAAGCGCTGAAGTTGTGGGTGCGCTCGAAACATCGGAACAACAATTGGTTGCAAGACATCATCACGGTAGGCTACAGCATTAACGCGACCCCTGCAAATGTGTAGGGCGGTCCGGTGATGAAATGTGAAGCCTCCCCACACTATTACACTTCCCCCCACCCCATCGATTCGTTTCGAAGATGCAGCAGTCTGCAAAACGTTCCTCAAGACGTCTACACACATGTTGACGGCCATCAGCGTGATAAGGATGAAAGCGACTCTCATCACTGAAGAGCACACTTTGCCAGTCTACTCTTCTCCATGTCTGGTGTGTCCTTGAGCCCATATCAAACGCCGCTCACGGTGAGGATAGCTCCAACATAAGGTCGTCGTGCACGGAGTCCTACTTCTCTTAGACGACGTCTTACGGTGTTGGCACTTACTGGTCCTTGTCTTCCGACGACTGCTGCACCTGTTCGAGTCGCTGGGCGGAATCTGTCACGCAGATGAGTGACCAGGACGTTGACGGTCACGTGTTGATCCAGTAATTCGAACACGTTCCACCAACCTTACAATAGTGGACTGATGACAATTGAAGTGTCTGGCAATAATAGCACGTGTAGACATGCCAGCCCTGGACATTCCCATGGCTTCATTCCGTTGATTTTCAGTAAGTCTCGGCATCTCTAGCTCGATTCCTTCACACGTCCAACAACAAATTACGACAGATTGATGTTTCACAGTTCACGTACAACACATTAATTTGAAAACATGCTTTTAAAGGGCTCACACACAATGCTGCACGTGAATATTGGGTTTTTCATGTGCATCTTATGCAATTTTTTTTGTGCACACGGGCCGAAATTTTTTGCGTTTGGGAGCATTGTGTGAAACAATAGTTCATATAGTATTGCATAATATTATACATACAAAACCACCTAGTAATAAAATATTTGGGAAAAAATGTGATGCGTTTTCCATGGCGCTCAGTAATATAACGGTATCTACTTAAAATGATCATTTAAATACTTAACTTCATTATTCTTTTATTATCATTACTTTTTTTTATACCGGAATAGTATTATTAAATTTACATTAGCACTATTAGATGTCGATCTACGGCTGTTTTTATTAATAATTTGTTTAGTGAAGCCGAATGATAAAAATCGCGTTAAGTCTACCAACTACCAAGCGTCGATCGAGATTTTGCCGTGGGTAACAAATCTCCGTAAAATCAAATAGCCCAGTGACGTGTAGTATAGATCAAATGGCTTGCTATGTGTTGAAAATTATTCGTTTAACGGCAATGTATATGAGTAATATGAAAAAACTAATGATGAGAGATTTCATTTAGATTAGATCTACTTGCGCAACACATCAACGCAAATGTCTAGCCTAGACTAGTGCAGATCACGTCAGTCAGTTCTAAATTCTACGTCGCTAAATTGGCCTAGACTCATGTATTCTGAGCGGACTGACACAATCATGCAGCTGGTCCAGCTAGTTTTAATAGTTAAAGCGAGAATTTCATATTTTCTAAGAAAGTCAAAACATAATTATTTCTATATCTTTTGCTCAATAGGTTGTCAACTCACTATTATAGGATCATAGGTATCATTATGACGCTTATAAAATCATTCACACCGGAAATAATAACACAATTACCACCTTTGTTTTTCTCCCCCTCCCCCCGCCATGGAAAAACTATCTTCAAACGTTTGAATTTGAAGTTGAAAATGATATTTTGGCCAATTTCTCAACTGGCAATAGTGAATTATAGGAATAATAGGATTATTCTGTAACTTAAAAATATAACTTAAAAATATGAAATTCACTCGGCACAGCTGCAGTCTGAGTCTGTGTTTTGAAATGAACGTCGCCACTTACACCGCGGTCGTCAACGAAGTCCATGCCTACCTTACCGTTTATCAAATTCGAGGGGCTTTCATATTCAACTTAATAATAATAGTCCCTGTTACTACATGATGTATGTATAGATGCGCGTGTTTTACATACATGTAAATATAGTTGGTGTTTTTGTTGTTTTATAGCCATTGATAATGCTGTAGCGTAGGTAGCCTAATGTTTTGTTTGTATGCTGTCTCTAATAGCCTAATGGGGTGTTAAGATACAATATAATTTTATCTGATCTTATATTAGCCTTAGAAGAAGCAATTGACGATTTTTATATCCCTTCCACATACCCAGTTGAGAGTTAAAATAATAAAACTTACCTTCGGCACGAACCAAAAAACCAATATGGCGTCCCAGAAGCATCTTTCGCGGCAACATTAGAGTCACGTTATCAGTATCCGCGGGAAAAAAAACCGCTAGTGTTACCAGATAATTTACTGAAGAATTAACCGGAATATTTGTCAGCTTCTAGTTGTTTTACAATAAGCCTTAATTAAAATGTATTATAGCTTGTATTGTGTTATTCAATCTCGATCTACGTCGTTAACCAATACAACTGTACCCAAGATCATACGTCAATTTCTATAGATAAGCGCATTGCAATTCCTGTTTTAGGCCCGTATTATGCACTGAATTTGTGTAGCAAACGCTGCACACTACACAATATGCATTAATCACCATTTTCTGTGCTTTGTGTTATTATTTCAATTGCAAAACACCGAATGTAAAAACAGCGACATTTAGGTGCGGGAGAGGCATCTCGTTTACAGTTCATAATACATTTTGTATAATACTTGACGGACGCAAACGCCTTTTCTTGCTTTCCCAACCCGTGTGCTCAGCAACATGAAAGCAGGCCAGTATTGCCTATTTATTACACCAATAACTTTAATGCATTAAAGGAAATTATGATTTCCGAAAAATTATAATCAAATAAATGATCGATGTCGCACACCGCCGAGTGGGACCCGACGAAATGTTTTAATCCGCAATCAATGCAGTACAAATTCGCCGTGTTCAATGACAAGAAAGTGAAAATGTTATATTATACTTAAAAGTCATCGAATTTGGGGCCCTTTATTTTACTGACAAGAAAGCAAAATATTTTCTTCCAAATAACATTCTGAAAGTTCCGCTTTCACTTTCTCTCGGGATTTTGAATGTGACTTTTTACTTAAATTGCTGCCGGGAACAGGGAATGTCAGGCAATGTCATGACCTTGACTCAGGTTACAACCCCAAAAATGACCTTGCGGGTGCGGGTCACGACTTTGACCTTGACATTTATTAGCGAAAGTCTGGGTGGTACATTAAGTTTTGGGACTTTTTCGATCCCAAGGTCAAGGGTCAGGTCAAAGGTCAAGGCCCCATTCGAAAGGTCAATGAGTTGCCTATCCATGGTCATGACCTTTGATTTACCGCGCAGACCCGGGGCCTCACCATGTGCCCGGGAGCACCCGACTCAGTAGATATTTTGGTGACCTTGACCCTTTCAGATGACCTTGACCTACCGTGGTCATGTGGACCAAGATGACATTTTGGAAGGTCAAGGTCCAGTGGTCCTGACTTTATTAGATGGGCCTCTAGGGTTCAAAAACCAAAAGACTTCTGGGCCCCCTAGCGGGTCAAGGTCACGACTTTTGGTTGGCGATTTTAAAAAATGAAGAACAAATGTTGGGTCAGTCTATCGAGTAACCAAATCCCGGGGCGATTGGAAGACATTTTTTGGGCAAATTTCCCTAGAAAGTGAAATAGCTGAGTATTACATCGGTGTGGTCTAAGGGCAGATAACTCGCCCATCCCAAATCGGATCCGACGACCTTGAGGTCGTGGCTATTTAAACTAAATTGACCCCTGGGAGTCTCGTGGTGACCTTGGTTTGACAATCAGAGGTCAAGGTTCGAACTTCTATATATGACGTTTCGATAACGTTATGACAACGTTGTGACAACGTTTTAACAACGTTGTCACAACAATCTGTATATGACGTTTTGATAACGTTGTGACAACGTTGTGACAACAACCTATGACGTTTTGATAACGTTTTGAAGACGTTGTGACAACGTTGTAACAACGCCGTGACAACAACCTGTATATGACGTTTTGATAACGTTGTGACAACGTTGTGAGAACAACCTGTATAATAATGACGTTTTGATAACATTTTGAAGACGTTGTGACAACGTTGTGACAACAACCTATGACGTTTTGATAACATTTTGAAGACGTTGTGACAACAACCTATGACGTTTTGAGAACGTTTTGAAGACGTTGTGACAACGTTGTAAAAACGCCGTGACAACAACCTGTATATGACGTTTTGATAACGTTGTGACAACGTTGTGACAACAAC